GGGGGGGGGCGATTTATTAGCGAGTCCCGAGATGGGTGTGCGAAGTTCTTACATCCCAGCAGCCTTTGCACGAGTTTAAATACGAAAACTTTACTCGCTTTCGTATTGCATCAAGTAGAAAACGGGGGGAGCTGAGAGGGTTGCTCATCACCAACTCAGGTCTCACCGGCACACTTAGTCGCTAGGTTATCCACTCATAGGCTAGGCATGTCGGTAGTTACCGCCGGAAAACTCGAAATGCCTGGTCTAGATGTGGAGGTCGATGACTGCTGTGGCGCGCCCGCAGAAGGTTGTTTTGGCTTAATGGTGTTGCTTCATGCGGTGCATGCGGTTTAATCGAGTATGTTCAGCACGGGTTTGTACTGTTCGATGACATATTGGAGTTCCGTTTCGTCTTGCGGAGTGCCAGTGCTGTATTGTCGTGTTGTTGGTTTTGTCTCGTTTTCTGTGTGGACATGTGTTTGGTTAAATAGTACTCTCTTGTTGCTTGTGAATTTCTATTTGCTTGTACGCTTGTTCAGCCTTACTCCCACCTACCGCGTTTGTCGCTGGTGTGTGTGTGTGTCTTGTGTTTTTTTTTTCGTTTTCAGCGAGCTATCATGGAGGCCGCCAACACGAGAGGGCCGAAGGTGGTCAAGGAGAAGAAGAAGATGAGGGGCAGGAGCAAGGTGAGCCACCGGCGAAAATGCACGCAGCAATAATTTAGCAACGTGCGTGGCTGTTTTCCCGCATCGAGCTGTCGCTCCTGTTACAGCACCTTGTCAGCAGGGCGGTCGTTCAAACTCGTATTCTGCGCACGTCTTGGATGACCTGCAATAGGACGCCTGGTTCATGCTGCTGTCGATTGCTGTCATGATTTTGTAAGCAAAGTTTTCAGGCACTGAGGTGAAGGCGCGTCTTGTCAGCTACCCAGATATTTGGAGGATGCGGCCGAAGAGCCTGCGGTGTCAACCACCCCACCCGGACAAGAGTTCTGATTTTCGTTTTCATTGCTGAGAGAACGAGGCTGCACACAAGCGGTGCCAAGGCGGCCAAGTGTGTTCGTATTGCCGGCTTACCGCATGCAAGCCCCCTGCCTTACATGTGTGTGTGCCTCCAAGACGCCTTGCTTGCAGCGCGTGATGTTTCTGTCGTCGGCACCACGAGGTTCCGGGTGCGACAAGGGGCCCTGGTGGGGTGTTTTGCTCGCCATTCCTGGGCAGTTCAGCTCCTTGTTCTCTTGCTCTGTCGATTCCTGGGACATGTACCCCTAATGACCCAATTTTCGATCACGTCGAAGTATCATTTCCCGCGCACGTCGCCTGGTCTGCGAAATTATTTGACGAGCCTTAAACGACGTAATCGTTTTGTTGTGTTGCACACACCTTGTTTCTTGAGCAGTGTTTCCTCTTGATGTCGCTGCGCATGCCTGGTGCACTTTGTTTGCTGCATGGGTGTACCCCAAAAAACACACTAGGTGGCCAAGAAGCTCCAGAAGAAGCAGAAGAATGTCGTGGACGTTGGAGTGAAGAAACTGAGGGAGAAGAGGGAGGCCGAGCAGGGGAGGGAGAGGGCGAGGGAGGACACCAGGAAGAGAGAAGCGCAGGCTCGAGAGGCCCCTGCCGCCCTCGGCCGTTTCTTCAAGAAGTAATAGTGTGTAGTACTGTAGCTGTGCTTTGTTTATCTGTTTCTTGATGCGTCGAGTGTGTCATCCGTGCACAGAGCGATTTGTTGTGTCAGGGTGTTGGCCGTTTTCATGGATTCCCTTGCTGCTCGGTGGTTTTGATTATTCAAGGCGAGGTCGGACGGTACATGGTTCAGCGACACGTGTGATGCTCTTTGGCGGCGTTTTTTAAAAAAGATTACACGGCGTAGCCTGCGTGCAGCGTGGCCAGAACATTTTCTCCCAAGAGCATCTAAGATTACGAGTTTGTGGCCGCGCCTTGTATCGGAGGAAGCGTTTTGCCACCTGCTACGAACGAGCAGAGTAACCGCCCTTCACACACAACGGGGGAGTTTTTGTGACCAAATGTAGTGGTGCATTACGCAATCAGGTTTGGCGCCGTTCTTTTTTTCGGGTGTGGTTTCTCTTGTGCCGGTGCTCACTTACGACACCGAGGTCTGGAGCCATCCGTGTTTGTGCTGAACCGCCCGTACGAACATGAGCGCACATACTTGCATTAGACTAGATCACGATCCGAACATGCGTTAAGAACGGCGGTATGGTTTATGAACGGCCAAAAGAGAGCGGTTCTATGCCAACAGCAGAGGCTTCGGATCGGTATCTTCCTAACAGTCACCAGCCAGCCGAAGAAAACAATACTGCCTTTCTCTGGGCTCTAAATGACCAATCTATTCCTCTGACAAAGAGCAAGCCCGATCATGCGATGGCCACGACGGCTGCAAAGAGGAACAGTTTTTTGTAGGTTTACACACAGAACGGCTTTTTTGTGGAAACCTCGGGAACAACCAAACATGCACAATCGCACAAGTCAAAGGTAGCATCAACCTCGCCGCCTGTGGGGCCACTGACGGCCTGCAGCATGCGCGGTTTCAGGGCGATGGTAGCGCTCAACAATGTCCTTCACGTGGGCGCCTTTCTTTGGCCAATCTCCTCTGTTCTACGCGGTAACACGGCGCCGAAGTCGACCTATCTCCCCTCTCCCGCCGGGACACCTGATCCCGCCGCGTTGCGGAGACGGCTGACGTTGTCCGCAGGCTCCAACGACGAGGGCATCATCGCGTCTCCTGCTGTCTTACCATCATCCGGCAAGCCAGTACTGAGCTTCCCCGGGGGTGGGATTTTCTTTTGGGTGAGCCCTCTTGTCTGGAGTATCTTCAACAAGCTCAATTTTACATGCAGTACGCGGCGTAATTGTACGGCAGTGGCAGCGAGCATCGCGCCAACAAGCACGACAGGGTCTGTGAGAGCGATGGCAGTGCGGACAAAGGCTGGCAATGCAGAATTCTCGCTGAAATCTCCGCCAAACTTGCACTACCTCCGTAACCCCCAAACGAACGCTCGTCCAGACTGACCGGCGATGATGCAGCAGTATACAGACACGTAAATGTTCAACGTACATGAACAGCAGAAGACCAAGCCGTTACAGCAGTAGATATCATGTCGTATGCAAAGTTCTACAACGGTGACCTCCAAACATCAATACCTTGGGATCAGGGCGACCACGACACAGCAAATACACATACTCTTCATGTTGCTAGGCGCTACGCCCACACTCGTTTCCGAGACTGTCGCCAGCTTGAAGTACCTCGCGTGATCGAAACCCCTTCCTCCGACCGTCCGTGCTCTCCCCCTTTGCTTGCTTGACCAGTGGCAAGCGGGTGTCATTAGCGCGTTGCAGGAGCGTTACAACCTATCGTCCCTCGATTTTGTGGGTGCTTCGGCGGGGTCACTCGCGGCCACGCTTGCCGCTTGTGACGCGGATATGGATCTCGCCATGAAGTTGGCTCTCGACCTCTGCGATACCAACGAGGTAACGGCCGGTGCACAGCGCGCAGTGAGCAACGGAGGCACTGCTGACGGTGGGGTAGTTGTTGCGCCCTCACGCGTGTACACTTTTCTTGAGGCCTCGCCCCGACACGAGACGATCAAGGTCACCGTGCAGTGTACCCTCTGCGCAAGCGACTAGGTAGACAAGACCCAAGTCAAGTCTATTTGTCGTGGACCTCCCTCCTCTCAGTCAGGCACCTCGGCTATGCGGTGATGTTGAATGTTATCATGTCTTATCTCTGCCATACCGAACATCCATGGATCACTAGAACCAGCTCGAGCTGGCCAATTATTTTCTAGTTTTTCACATGTTCAATGCTATAGCCCTGGCGATGGACGTCGTGCGTCACCGCAGATTTGGACCCGACCGCTGGGACTTGCCGGTGTGTGGGGCGCGATGGTGGAGGACTGGCTCGACGAGCTGCTTCCAGACGACGCGGACGTTATCTGTCGAGACCGCGTGCATTTATTGGTGGGTGCGATTTCACGAAGAAGCGCTGCTGGTCGGCGTACAAACTCAAAGACAACCGCTACGCGCCTCGCACCTGGTGTATCAGGGAACTAATACTCTTGCTTCGGCGTCAGGACGTGCTTGTGCCTCCGGTACAGTATCGAAAACAGCAGGAAATGTTTCATCAAGCAAGCAAGGGTGCACGTTTGGGGTGGGGGAGATATGAGTGCTTCCTGAAGTGATTCATTCCCGCCCTCAGGCAATTCGCCTCTAAAGACAGATGCAGCCTTCCCCACCGGCGCCGGGTTATGGCCGTTGGGTTGGCCACCGATGGAGCTGTGCCTACTGGAACATCGTAACGTTCTGGGTTGCGGGGCGCCGTACGTTCCATGTTATGTGTAGGGCCTGAAAATTATTTTCCGCTTTTTCTTTGTCATCGACAGCACGTAGGTTTTGGGCAGATTATTCGCAATCTCTTCCGGTTTGGTCGCAAAGCTTGCCTCTCTATCGATCAATACGTTCCAAAATAAATTCTCGTGTCCAAAATGTGGGGTTTTGAATCGTCTGCATCAGGTGATAGGGATCTGGCCCAGACCGTTCAGGCGACGAGCGGTGTCGGACTTCACGAGCAAGAGTGATCTGATCAAGGCGTGCATGGCTTCCGTACACATCCCGTGGTTCATGGACAAGCACTTCTCGGCGCGACATAGGGGGGGGCGGTACGTAATCGGTACCTACGTACACGGTTCTAGAGTTTGTAGCATGCCACGAAGGAAGCCTGGCCAGCACACCGTGTGGACAGCTTTTTTCTTAATTGGCTGTGTGTGCCGGTGTGTTGTAGTACGCTGTTACGCTGCAGGTCTTCATTTTGGGGCTTTTGGTTGGCTTGTTACAAGCTTATTGCTTGCGCCTATGGCTGCCCGACTTGTGAGGAAGGATCCTCAACTGCCGGCCGCAGCCCGTGAATGAATCTCGTGTGCAAGGCAGAGGTATTCGTTTTGGAGACTCCACGTTTTTGTGGCGGGCTTTTCGGCCAAGCTATTGCGTTTGAGCAACAACAGAGTAGGCGTACCTGGCGGGTTGCCACCCACGAAGACATCGACACCGTGTGAAACGCTATGTAGAAAAGGTGTGTGTTTCTCCGCGTCAGAACTCGAATCTCGAAACATTTCCAGAAAAACTCTACCAACCGTACTGCGCTCGACCAAGGAATGTGGTCCCCTCCAGGCTTGACGCCCCCTTGATCCCCCGCTTTGCCGTGTCGTTGACGTTGCGAATCGACCTTTGGGTTTCCCGGGGTGCAATACAGCAATACTGCTGGTGTATCGGCCCACTCTGCGCCGTCAAATGTTGGTGTTTTTTCCGAGCTTCTGGTGTTGTTCACCCTTGAGACCCTCCTCTACCGACCGCCTCTCGTCGACAGATTCGTCGACGGTTCCTTCAGGGCGAGCCGCGAAGACCTATCGCTGGGAGACGGCAGACCAACAGGTGACGAGCACCATTTTCATAAAAGACGGGCGCGAAGGCACACATATTCTGTACCAGATGTGGTGAGAACAAGCACGTTCTGTTTCACGAAACGCGAAACCGAAAATTGCGGGCTTGAGACACAAGCTTCCGAGAGACGCAAGCTTCGCGAGAAACCGTGCATTCTTTGGTGTTGGTTTTTCCGAGAGACGCAAGCTTCGCGAGAAACCGTGCATTTTTTGGTGTTGGTTTTACCTCCAACAGCCCGATTGACGCCCTCGTGACACCCTTTCCTTCAAACGTCCTTGCTCTAAATCGTTCCAAGTGTACTTCGACTACGATGAAGACGAGGTGATGGCAGCGAGGCGAGGCAAGTTCCTGAGCCTCACGAACCAGGAAGGCCTATTGTTCATGAGGCAAAGGGGCTACGATCACGTGCAGACGATGCTGGCGGAGGGAAAGCTCGACTGTATCAAAGAGGCGGCCCTACCTTTGCAGATGAACACTACCGGAGGATTGACCGGCAAAGATTAGAGCGGGTACTGCTATTCGTCGTCGAGGGAGAACGCTAGGCCGGCGGTTTTACACGAGTCGGGCAGAAGGCGCACCCTTTCTGCGTAAAAAAATCAGCAACCGGACAGTGGTGGCAATTTATGTTTCGTCTTGTCCTTTGCTAACTCCTGGAGACACTCAGTTCCTGCCGGCGTTTGCGTGCTGCCGCGAGTGGTCCGGGAATCGTACTGAGCTGCGACATGAGACTGACGCGTTGTCGCAGTGTTGTTTTTTCCCGCGGTACATGATGGCTTCTCACGGCATTACGCAAGACCGCCGTTGTACATTTTTATGTTTTGCTGAATCGGCAGCCGAACGTTCTCTCGCCACAGCGCGCGCACGAAATTTTTTCACGTGTGCCACATCCTACCACTTGTGGGCACATGGATGGAGGCAGCTACATCATCGGCGGCAATGGGCTTCCAGCAGACAATCGAATCCTACTTATGTAGGCACACCTTCCAATTTCTCTTTCCCCCTACTCCGCTACCACCCCATGCAGCCGTTCAAAGCTCGTCACTTTATTATCGCCCCCCTGCGTCCATGGTCTCCGGACGTTTCAACCACTCTACTTCGTTGCTCTGTAGGCGGGTTCACGTTCTGTAGAACGAAGACGGGGCCAGTATTCGGCAGTACGTATGATGCAGTCGCGTGTGTCCAGTAGCCCACGGGTCGGAGAGACGCACCTTTATGCGCTTCGAGCGAAGGAGCGGGGGCGTTGCATTTTGAACACAAGAATGGGTGATACCGCCTGTGCTTGGGGGGAAACTACTAAAAATGATCGCACAGGTGTGTTATTTCCCCGGCCCTTCGGTTCTTCGTTGTCCATCACCAAAATATTTCGGCACTACAGTCAAGGTTAAACCAACATTGGGTTCGATTGCCTGCAACAAATGCTGGCATTTATGAAGAAAACATCAGGCATGTACTCTTGTTTTGTCCTAGGACCCATTGACTCAGCGTATGCGACTGGGTTTCACCCACGATCGCACCGCCCTCTAGCCGCGCGCGCATGGGTCAACTTGTTCATCGTATTGAGGTCAACCTCCAGAACACCGGACGCCTTTATTAATTGCCTCGGAACGGCAACTCTAACGATATTAAAAGGCGTGTTTTGCGTCTAGTAAATCTATCAATGCCCTTGTACATCACCACCACTCAAGTCAAGGAAGAAGATGCAAGAAATATGATGACACCCACGCGGGTGATCTCCAAGCGTGTTCAGTCTAGTACACCAGGGAGGGAACCTAGACGTCGTTATACAACACACCCTAAATCGTTTCTTTGCTACACTTCACGTTCGAGCTAATGGATCCCCTCGACCAGCACATCCTCGATGAAAACATCAGTCAACTGCTCACTTTGTTGTACGACAACAGCAGCTCTTTACTATCGTGCGGGATCCGCGACAAGATCTTTGACCAATCGTAGGTCCTCCGGCGGCGCGAGGGCCAAGAAGTCGTCGAGGCTGGCCGCGAGAGCGCGACCGGACTCTAGCACGTCGTCGACGTCCTCCTGCGAAACCGCCACCCCATCCTCCTGCTGCTGCAGAGCAAACGACATCACTTCGTCCAGAGCCTGCGAAACGGAGAATATTGTCACGGTCGTGGATGGGAGAAGAATCTTAAACGTGAGCGCTATATTACCAACGGAGAAGGAGTCTCCGTACCCCGTTTGCTCACGGAACGACCGCATGACAGGCGCGGCCTTCCTCTGCTCTTGCCGCGTTACTTCCTGGACGCGATTCCCTGGGTCTGTGCCATCTTCACTCCGACAGCAAACTTCTCAAGCTTTAGGGTCAGTCCCATCGTTCGATATTCGTGGGTGGCAATTTCATTCGCATCCCGCACCCCTTGCCCGGCCCGGTCTCAAATGCTAATCTCGAGCTACAGTGCAACTCTCTGGGCGCCTCAAGTATGGTTCGGAAGGGAATCGCAAAACATGACCCCTCCCCGAGTTTGAGCAGCTTCCACCTCCTGTGGCCGACACGACTCGGCTTGACTGGTCCTTGTCTGTTTCGCCATGGGAACGGCCGGTTGAACAGCGAAAGAGGGTCCTGCGTGCTGCGCGCTACAATTTTTCTTTCTTTCTTTCTGAGTGACCATGCGGCTGTTGCTAAATATGCTTCAGAAAAGGTTGTAAGGTTATCGTCTCTGTCGCTTTGGGCTGCACACGCGTTGCTCGCGAAGGCGTTGCTCGCGAAGTAGGCGATGCGCGTCACTTACTTTTTTCCCTCTTGTGTCGTTACCCATGAAGAGCAACAGCAGCACACCAGTTGACGAGACAGACAAAAACAGGCGCTCCGCTCTAGTTTTTTTTTTTATGATGCTGCATATGCATGGGTAGTATGCATCGTATAAGCGGCATATGCATGGGTGGCATGCATCGAATAATCGTGTTGCTGTCTTTTTGAGTCTGCTGCGTAGTCAGTCGTAACTTGAGCGATAAGGTAAATGGCAGCACAATCTAATCTACGAAAGTGAGGTTTGGCAACGAACAGTCTGCTCCTTCGTGCAGCGGTGCACATCTTCGCGGACGGACTTTATACAGGAGTTCGTCCGTGTAGTCATGTTCTTTTTTGTTTTCATTTCGTCACAAGAGAAAGAAAGTCCGCCCTACTCTAGTCTAGTTCCCAAACGGCGACATTTCGTTGTTGTGTTTCTTGTTGCTGAGCCCACATCGGATACCGCAGTTCGTTACACATGTCTGACAGCCTGAGGTGGGCCAAAGGGACGAGAGTGAGTGAGTGTCTTCTCGAAAATGAATTATATCCGCTCTCTTCTGTTCGTATACCTATCTCTCTCTCGTCTTTCGCCGGTGGGGTCCCAACAACATCGACCTACGTCAACCGCCGTGGTTTCGCTCCTTGCTGAGTACGAGGCTACCCGTGCACCCAGCTGCTGCATGTGAGGCGATGTGCGCCAACTGTTTGTGTCAAGCAATGGACTTGGGCCCTACCTGATGCTGGCCATGCAGTGCTATGTGACATTTTCCAGCGGCCCAGAGCGAGCGACGACCACGGCGGGTTTTCTATGCTTTCTTTTGCCTTCCTCAAGCCTGTTGCGCCTGGTTCACTTGACTTTGAGCTTCTTTTTTCGTTTTTCATGCTTTGGTTTTCGGGGTCCCCCAGCCACCCGCTCACCCATCATTTCGGTTTCTATTGGGAGGGGTGCTTACTTGCCATGTTCATGACTGCGCCCCGCACTTTTTACTCGCACCCCGTCCATGCCACTGTCAACACATCACATCCTCTCATATCTCAGCACATCAATCTTGTACCATGCCCACCGACACGTCTAAGGCTTGGGGAATCATGGCAGACAAGCACGAGAACTCCCTCAGGGAGCTACCGAAGCTTACCCCGGAAGAAGCCGCAAAGAAGGTCTGCTTGAAGTGCAAATCCACGGAGTTCGGGCCGGGAACTTTGTTCCCTGGAGAAAAGTGAGAGCACTGTAGTTTCCGTGTTCCTTGTTTCCGTGTTAGCAACGCTGGCGGCGCGTTGGCAACGCTGGTCATCGTCACGGCAGCAGCGTACAGGAGCGCCTTCCTTCGCAACGCTACCAGCCTTTCTTCCCGCGTTGGTTGCTTTATTTGCTAGCCTGTGATCGTTTCTGCGTTGAATGTGTCTCTCGTCTCTTGACAGCCACATGATGATCCTGTGGCTCTTGATTGATTGTCCGCGGCGAGCAAGAGTTTGGCAGCGCTCGCCCTTTTGCTTCTTCCCGGCCTTGTCACATCCTTTTCTAGTGTGCACCAGGTCGAATCGTACGCACCATGTGTTGGACTTGAGTGTTTTCGTGAATTTGGGCTCGTCTCAGCCACAGGATTTTCACGTCATGTTGGCTCTCGCTTGTCCCCAACCCTCGTCATTTCGTCCGTACCGCTTGATTGTTCGCAGCAGGCGATAAGCTCGCAGCGCTCTCCTCTTTTGCAATTCAATCTTCTTTGTGGCTCACGATGCGAACATGAACCCTTCTTGCTTGTTGTGAGCTGACAAGTGCCTCGCGTGTGACGTGCGCGTGTCCTGAAGCATGGAGGAGCCGGAGAGAGGACGAGAGGAAGGGTTCTTCCAATTGCTTCTTTTGCCGCATGCCCACCGGGTACAGCGTTCAGTACCACCGCATAATGGACCCTACTGGCGAGAAGAACTGGAACGGAGAACCCGTAAAGCTTCGTTCCAGTTCTTCTTGCCAGTAGGGTCCATCATGCGGTGGTACTGAACGCTGTACCCGGTGGGCATGCGGCAAAAGAAGCAATTGGAAGAACCCTTCCTGCTCTCGTCCTCTCTCCGGCTCCTCCATGCTTAAACACGCGCACGTCACACGCGAGGCACTTGTCAGCGCACAACAAGCAAGAAGGGTTCATGTTCGCATCGTGAGCCACAAAGAAGATTGAATTGCAAAAGAGGAGAGCGCTGCGAGCTTATCGCCTGCTGCGGACAATCAAGCGGCACGGACAAAATGACGGGGGTTGGGGACAAGCGAGAGCCAACATGACGTGAAAATCCTGTGGCTGCGACGAGGCCGCGAGCCGCAAAACCACGCTCTCGACCAAATGACTAGAAATCACGTGTCGTCTTTGGCGGACGCTGACGCCGAACCTCCGGCATCGTCAATCGCACAATCACGGACGCGCGACGCTGCGCCTCTTGCGTCGTACCTCATGCAAAAAAGAAATGCTGCACTCGCCGGGTTATCGAAAAGTGCCCGCCTTGAACGCTCCGCCAAGCGTGATGCCACCAACGAAGCCGTCGCCAAGACAGACGTCGGAGCCAGCGCAGCATCGCAACATCCCGTTGCCTTCAGCATCGCACAGGAATTTGGCCTCAACCGAAAGCAGCGGCTAGCGTTTTACATCTTCGCCAACGGTCTCCTGGCTCAGCACAGCCATGACCCTCCTGAAGCACTTCGGCTTTACATCGGCGGCGGAGCCAGGACAGGAAAGTCGCATGTGTTCAAGGCCACGAAAGCTTTTATCGACTGTCCCACCATTGCCGGTCAAATCCCACCAGGCCGTCTATTGACCGTTGCATTTCAAGGGAACATGGCCTAGGCTGTGGGAGGGCGAAGTGCACACTCCACTTGCTCCAGCGACGGAGCACGTGACGGCAGTTTATCGGGCGATCACGACGACCAAACTTCGCTAAACGAGAGCAAAGCACTAGCGTAAAAGAACGTCACCACCCTGGCTATCGAAGAGGCCAGCATGATCGGCTGCAAACTTTTAGTTCGTCTTCAAAAGGCCTCGTGCTCCATGTTCCCGCTTCACAAGGGGAAGCCTTTCGGCAACCGTGTTGTCGTCATGCTCGGTGACTTCAACCAACTGAGAGGTACGTCCAAGTGTGGCACATAACAATACTTGAAACGTTTTAGTTTTCCTTCATACTGGCGCTAACTGTATATCCGCCCGTAAAATTTAACACGCTCCTCTCTTGCCATGGCTGTACGTTGATGTCTAGTCCTGTCAAAGCCAAATCCTTGGCTTGTGGAGCTGGTAACACGGCAAACCGGAGGGACAAGAACGTGACGGAGCGGTTCGGCGCGGACTTATTCCGCAGTGCCAAAGCGAGTGTAGTGTTGGACGAACACAACAACCGTTTCAGCTCGACGTACGCGCCGATCATGGAGCGGAAGCTTCTCGGTGAAAACAACACCGGCGACGTTCGGCTACTAAATAGCCGACTGCTAAACCGGGTCTCCTGGTCAACACGCCGACAGCTGCTTCCACGGCCTTGTCATCGTCTTCCGAAACAGGGCACGTGTTCTTCGGGAAACGATTGATATTTCAACGCACTTACAGAGTTCAATCGTTATTTCAACCTGCTCAACTCCGACCCTCACCCTATTCAGGTGAACACAATCCTGACGGTGCGATGAAACGCGCCTCTTGCAAGGCGAACGGAACCCCGCTCTTCCTTGCAGCAGCGTCCGACGTCTACGTCACTCATCTCAGGCCGGGCTTTCCAAAGCAGGTAAAGTGCATCTTCGTTGATAGATTTGGACCTAGCCAATGGCATCTCGTCTACTGTACTGAAAGCCGTCCCCAATTATCTGTTTCGCCACAGAAAATCCTTCCGCCACAGAAATCCCTCCTGGCACGACGTGGCCGGCTGGGCTTCGGGACGAAGTCAACTCCATCGATGACGCCTCCGCCAACGATCTGCCAACGGTGGCATGCCTTGCGGTTGGTGCGCCGGTAGTTGTCGCATGAGACCGCAGTTCGTGCTACTGGGGGTGTGCAACAACTCTGACGGTGTCATCCACAGCACAGAGCTCGACCATTGCAAAGACCATCTCGTCCACCGCACCCCGGGTTAATCCGTCGTCAACCATCGATACCCACCGGTCAGAGTTCTTGTCTGCATCAAGTCTGCGGATGAGGTTCACGCCAGCTGGATGGGATGCCACGCGGGGTGGTCGCCTTTGCCCCGGTCGAAAAACTGTTCACGGTGGTCGGCGTCGGCAACAGAAAGGTTGCTATCCGCCGACGGCAGCTGCCGCTAATTGCAGGGTGTCTGTCGTCTGTGCATCGCAGCCAGGGACAAACCATGCGCACCATCATCCTCGACATTGGGAACCCGGCAAGAAACAGGATCGACCCCGCCGCCGTTTACGTCGCTCTATCTCGCGCCACGTGTCTTAAAGACATATATCTGCTTTTCCCGGTATCCTTGGAGGGCCTCAACAAACCACGAGACAAAGACGTCGTGGCCCTCATCAAATAAATCGAACGCCTCGACAAAGCTACCCTTTCAGCGTTCCTCCAAGATTTAACACGGTTCACGCCGGCCTCAGCCTCACTGGCTGCTGTTGCCGACGTCGGGTCGCGGGCGCTGACCAAGAAACAACGGAGGAAAGGCGCCGACCGCCATGGGCACGGTGCCACTCGGAGGACGACACACTTGCTGCCGGACAGCGACAACAACTGCGTCCTCAACTCTTCTCTTGCTTTGGCGCTTGCGGCATAGGATGCTCAACAGCTGCCAGACACATCCGCGTCAACTCCAGCCGGCGGCGTTCATCGCATTGGTTCACCTTCTTCGGGACTCCATGTTCAACGGCTGTGCATTGCCTCAAGATATCTTGGTACGCCATCGTAGTTTAGGTAGACTACATAGTAGGGTGTCCTCAACTCTACGTCGACCGCAACTTAACTATATGTTTCCCCCACGTTTTTCGTTTCACACCAGGTCGCAGCACAGCAAGCACGTCACGCCATCTTCATCAATTGGGGACTGCGTGGCCTTGATTTTGAAGTGGGTGCGGTGGCAAAAGCGTGTCCGAGGCCATCGCGAAACGTTGCCCTGAAGTCTCTGAAGTCTGGCCCGCCAACGTCAACGTCCAGCACCACGTTGTACTTCACACGCGTAAATACTTGGGCTTGACTGGAGATGCTCCAACGACTGCAACATTGCCAACCACAGCAGCCTACACATCACGGCCGACCAATCAGCTAGGATAAGGAACGCCACCGTCATCAGGGTGCCGAATGGTCACTCCGACTCGTTCGAAGAGAAGATAGCAGAATTCTTCAACTCCGGTCAAGCTTCTGATCTTGCGATTCCTGGACAATCACCGTGCCACTGCGCGGAGACCATCGCCTTTCACACGTGCATGTGGACGTTGCTTCCTTGGACTGGAGATACGGCACCGGACAGGTTGTTTTTCAGGTCTTCGCAAGTCTTCCAGGGCCGTGATGACCTACCCATGTCGCCCTCATTGACTTCAACTCTGGGGGCGGAGTTCTCCCTTGTTGGAGTTTATCATAACCTTCCTCTTGGCGGCGGCTCCCGCGACCACTTCGTCACTCAAATGCGATCGAGGGGTCGTTGTCACAAGTATGACTGCCTACAAGGCGGCCTTACAACCTCTTCTGACGACTTCGATGTGGATCGCTACACCGCCGGGCTACGATGAAGCCCATCAGGACGACCAACTCGGACGAACAGCGCTACACCGGGTGACATGGCTACCGGAAGCCCGTCCGGTCGGACAATGCCAAGCGACCACCATATTTCTGCCCCTGTCAGCACGCCGGGGAGAGCTGCATGATATCCACTACTTTCTAGGTGTTTTTGTTCGTTTTTATCTTCAGTCGTATCAGCGTGAGTACTCTTCTGCAAGTTGTCTAGGATCGGTGTGCTTTGTCAATATTTAGTTAGTAGTGGTGTGCCAATCGAACGTGTCCATGTCGTGCGAGGCAATAATAATCTTCCTGTGTGCTGATCGGGCGCCTTCATGTCTACATACCTTGGGTTGTTACCCCAAGCTTGGTTACCCACTGAAACATTAAAAAGCTTCAGACAGGCAACGTGACGATACTCGTCGAGTTGCTAATTTTAACAATCCGCTCCAATATTGAGCTTTGAAATAACTACCACAAGTAGCTTACTGCCCATACAAGCCAAATCGCCTGACCTTCATCTCCTCTTGACACGCTGCTTCGTAAACGTGCTTCCCTGAGCCTACGCCATCTTCACTCCTACAATGATTGCGCTCAACATTCAGCCGCGAAAGGAATTGCTCGCTCGCACTGGCCAAACCGACTTCACCTTGATGCTCGCCAGGCCTTGATTTCGATAGAGGTCCCCCAATATGTGTTTCTCCCAGTTGGAATCGCTGTAGCGATCCAAGATCTTGGCAAAGTCCGGATTTGACAGCGGCGGAGACCTTAGAAGGGACCTCGCTTCCTCCCAACCGCCTGGATCCTCCAAGAGATCAAGCACCTTCGCCGTTGCTGCCTGCAGCAAACGGTGATTGCAGTCAAAATCTCAGCATGTCGGGTCCATTACGTGTGGCTTGTGACAAAGCATGCCTTGAAAATTCAGCTAAAAGCCTTGCAACCATGCTTCTCGCCTTGCACTCAGCAGGATGCGATGCTTCATGGGACCGGTGTGGCTGTGGAGTTTCGGCTGCGCTGAGAAAGGGTTAGAAACATTTACTAAGTCTCTGCACGGCATAATTCTTCTCGTACGACCACACCGTATTCGAAGTAATCTCCACCAGAGCAATGAGAGGTCTAATACTTTCCCAACTCGAAGACTCCAATCGGGAGCACATCAAGAACGTCTATGGCCCACTGTATCGTTGCTGCTGATTATTTACGTAAAAAGGAAAACCAGTGTTCACAAATGTGGCCAAAACCGGACAACAACAACAACAACAACAACAACAACAACAACAACAACAATGCATCCTGTTTGGGGAAGTAGGAGAAAAAGCGTCGTAGAAGGCCGGCTCACCCGTAGTTTCACGACGGGCAGCAGCAGAGGGCGCGGCGGCGTTACGGCCGTTCTCCGATCACGCTGAGGGTCCAACGCCGAGGCGGGAGCGGCGAGTACGCCACAAGCCGCTGACCCAACCAACAACGTTGAGGACACAAGGCGAACGACAGACGCTCGGGACATGGGCTCTGGCTGCTGAAAAACAAGAGGGGGCGCGGGCGGGGAACGTTGAATTTAGTCTGGCGGAGCCTGATAAACTGTTGAGTAAGAAAAGGGAGAGATATGTTACAGACAGCAGTATCGGATACCCGGGGAGGATGAACGGTAGGTGCCTAAACATGGACAAGTTCAACACCTTGCAGACCGGACCGACCAGATCGAGCTATTATAGCTCTTTCGAATGGCATGTCCCTCGTGATTGCAAGGCATAGGTGATCTGTGTATGTTTTCTCCATGATGATATATAAGACATAGATGAGCTAGCTCCTTATCTGTCCCTGTGCATCTTTTTTATCTTAACAGGGCCTCACGTGCGAGGAGGCAAGAGCGCAACCTCTAGAGGTATTAGTAACTACTGATGTGGGTCTCAGAAAGAGCGGGGTCATGAACGGGCGATAATACTTTTGTTCCTCTGCGTTGTGTTTCATTGAAGAATGCCGAAGCAATTGAGTGCAAGCAACTCTCAATGAATTGTAGTTCCACGTGGTAGTCAAATGGAAGGGTAGAGTAAACGAACCGAGGACAACAATACCCCCCACAATCCCTCAAAAACCGAGGGTAATGCTACTTGTTTAGAAAGAAAACATAATAACCTCACAGAAAGACTACCCGTATGGTTCTACTCGGTAGTTTCCTCCATCACTACGAAATAGTGTAGAAAGTACGTGGAGCTTTAGCGTACCTGTGCTAGCGAGGCCGTTGTAACTTACTCAGAACAGCCACACAATACTTCACTTTCATATTTGCACTTCATCATCATATGCATAGACATGCGATGTACCATGGTACCTTTTCCTGAGCTGAGTCGTCAAGAGTGCAGGCCGTGTCAGACGACGGCCGCCGTGCCGCAGAGAAACGCGGGAGATGTCGAGTCTGGGATGTTCGCCCAACCCATGAGCTCGACGCTGCCGCAGCTAGCGTCGGCTCCGCCACCCAACCTAGGATCATGCTTCCGTCTGTCCCACTGCTGCTCCTCGTGTAGGTTGACCTTGGTAAAACCGCTGGCGGCGTAGCGGAGTTTGCAAAGATTGCACACAAGCAGCCAACGTAATCTCGCCGCTTCGGTGCCGTCTTGGCCAATCAATGATCTACAAGGATACTGGTTTTTCTCGTAGAGGGGGTTGGAGGTGGGAGATCCGGCGGAAAAAAAAATCAGGAAGGATAGAGAGGGTTGGAGAGAGAAAATAGGAATTGTCGCGCCCAGGACAGATCAGAGAAAGACAACACCCCACACCTTCCTACACACACCCTCATCTCCTCTCTCAACTCCTCCACTTTTAGAAACCATGAAGCTCGTTCTCGCTTCCGCCGCCACCATGGGCGTTGCCTCGGCTTTCGTGGCACCCTCGTCTTTCTCCGGCGCCGCCGTCGCCCCCCGCGTCTCGAAGGCGTCGACCTCGACACACATGAGCCTCAGCGAATACAAGGACGAGCTGGCGGAAACCGCGAAGGCGATCGCAGGACCAGGTGAGCTAGCTGCCTGCGGGATGCGGGACTGCCTGCAGCGGTGGACCAAGTGGCTCTGCGCTGCGCCGTGTGCCGGTGCTTGTTTCGAATTGGTCTGGATATATGTTTGGGTGTTGTCTCTAGTTGTGGCCTGTGCGGCCGGCGCTCTATGCATACGTAACCACATGTTCACGCGTGCGTATGATGGGGTGTGCTGATAATGCAATTTGGGCACGCGGCATCTGAGCCTGGCCCGTGGTCATGCAGTGTGTGCAGCTGGAGTATAGACTGGCTACAAGCTGTGGGGGTGGGGGTGGTGTGCCAGCGCAGGGGCTCATGCAAATGGGGCAACGCGTGTATGTGTGTGTGCGGACGTGCCGAAAACGCGGGAAGCAGCAATTCTCGCTGCTTTTTTTAGGCAGAGAATCGGTTAAGAAGATCACAAATACGGGCACGTGCATGCGAGGACCAAACCGATGGTAACGGTACTGCGAACCCGTTTCGAGTGCGAGGTTGAGAGATCCAGAGGCGATTTGATTTTCTTGCTTAGGGTTGTTGGTTGTCGAGAGACAGAGAGAACGGGTGACGTGTGTCAGGGAGGGTAACTTTTTTTTTTTCGGGTGAAAAACGTCACAGCTGCTGCTGTCTCGTTTTTACTTCAACACCGGAGATCCAACCTTGCACCTACAACGTAGCTGCCGATTTTGTGTGAATTGCAGCTAAGGACGTCGCCCTTGCTTCAGTAGCTGTGGTCTCTGTAGTGTTGGGTTGTCGGGAGTGACTTAATTTGACCTTGCTGTGTTGAGATAACAGCAGTTTTCGTCGACTGCAATAGGGAGGGTACCCGCAGAGAAGTACAAATCGCCACGCACAGCGTACCCATGGATCATCCATCAAGAGCCGACAAGCAGTTGCACCTGGAAGCGGGCGATGCCATCTTGCATGGAGTACGGCTGGATTAATTCCTTGGTATTGTCTTTGGGAAGCCGAGCGAGCATTAAGCATGCGATTGTCTTCAGCCAACATCCAGTCACTCGCACACGCATACACGTGCATGTGACGACCTACTAGAACGGTTCTCGTTTCTTTCGTATGCTACTGTGATGACGTGCGCCGTCATTGACCATGCATGGCACACTACCGTAATGTTTTTCTGAACCACAGGCAAGGGTATCCTGGCCGTTGACGAGTCGACCGCCACCATTGGCAAGCGGCTGGCGTCCATCGGCGTGGACAACACGGAGGAGAACCGCCAGGCCTACAGGGGTAAGTGCCGTGTCGCATCGCACATGTTCATGAAAACCTGACACATCTATGCGTTAGCAGTAAAGCTGCATGTCAACATGCTATGCGTACGTGCGTCGTTGGTTCGATCTACGCGATCTGGGGAGGGGGGGGTTGGAGGGCACCCCGCGAAAGACATGCCCGCATGAACCAAAGCCCTGGTTGATAGAGTTTGCTCTGGCTTCTCCACCTGTACGGGATGCGAAAGTACAGCAGTTCCGCCTGTTAACATGACGCCATGCCGGCAGCGGGGTAGCCACCTTGGATATATGCATGTTTTGTACTCGGGCCCAACATCAGCGGTGCTTCCCATGAAGTGTTAGATGTGACGTGCATGAGAATGTGTGGAGCGCGCTATATTTGTATATATATAACGGGTAGCGTGGGGGCGGGATTGATGGGCACACTTGTATGTTCACGATGTAGGAGCATTGACGTCCTTCTGGTCTCATGTCCATCGGGGTCTTGTCTTGTTACTTAATTGATGTATTCGCCGTCCTCAGGCACGTGGTGCGCACGGAACGTAGTTGGTGCGTGGTTGTCCGCGTCGCCGGCGTATACTCGCCCTCCCGGAGTGATTGCACCTAGATTTATTGAATGTTTCCGCTGTTGGTTCCAGTCGTGATGTCGAGTGAAATGGCAAAAAAACATGGACACGAGCAGCGACTTGTGTTGGGCTCCCGTGAAAACCGCCTGATTGCACCCCCCCCCTCCCCCTCTCTCGACCGTACCGTAGGCATGCTCTTCACTACCCCGGACCTCGGCAACTACATATCGGGCGCCATCCTCTACGAGGAGACCCTCTTCCAGAACCACGCCGACGGAACCCCCTTCGTCGACTGCCTCCAGAAGATCGGCGTCATCCCCGGCATCAAGGTGGACACCGGCCTCTCGCCTCTCCCCGGAGGGCACGAGGTGGAAACGTGGTGCTCGGGCCTCGACGGGCTCGTGGAGCGCGCGAAGAAGTACTACGCGCAGGGCGCCCGGTTCGCCAAGTGGCGCGCGGTGCTCCAGATCACCTCGGACGGCGCGCCGTCCGCTCTCTCCATCCAGGTTCGTTGCGTGGTTGTCGTGTTGGCGTTGGTGCCGCTGCCGTTGTTGGGCTGTGGGATATGAACTAGTCTTGCCTCGCACACTCGACGAAGAGGTGGCACTTCGCCCGAAGCTCCTTGAGCAGCACGTGTTGGTGCATTCCTGACAGGGAAACACTGCAAAGGATGAACGGTGGTAGGTATCGGAAAGGGGCTTACTCTGCGGTGGGGAGGTGTCGGATGTGTACGTGATGTATTGACGTTGAATGTAACTGTCGCATCCGTTTTTGGCTTGTGTTGGCACCGTGTGATCGACGTGCAAGTTAAGTTGCCCAGCTGTGGCGCCCACAAATCGCTCAATTGGTATATATAAGCATTTACCTTACCGCGGACTTCAAGTTTCGAGAAGAAACGAAATGTAATTCACGCCACACACCCCCTGCACACGCTGTCTTCCTTTTGTTTTTTTTTGTTTCGGGCGTGCAGGAGAACGCTTGGGGACTGGCGCGCTACGCACGCGCCGTCCAGGAGGCCGGGCTTGTGCCCATCGTTGAGCCGGAGATCCTCATGGACGGCGACCACAACATGGCCACCACCGCCGCTGTGCAGGTTTGTTTTCGGTCGTTTCGCTTCATAGACCCTTCGTTTTCGTGATTTGCGCAAGTGACACCTCTGCACATTCCCAGATTGAAGCGTCGTCTTGTAGCGTTCTCGGTTGTGTCGTGGTGGCTGTGGACTTCTGTCCACTTTTGGTGTACATTGCTCTTGCAGTGCATATCGTTGTTCGACGTGTTGTTCATGCGACTTGACGATTTCGACTGCGTAGTTGGCGCATTAGTAGATCTCTCTTCGGGGGGGTTTGATTATACGCGGAAAAAAAAATGCAATGGGATTGGTACTCGAAATATCATTTCTGTGTGATCAAAAGTATGCGTACAACTGACGTCGGTAGCGCCTGTTTTGTTGCGGAGACGGCTAGCGAAAAGCACTACAGTCGGAACCCAACTCGGCTTTTGCATCCGTGCATGTGCAGGTATCTGCTCGCTGTGGTATGGACGAAAAATTTATAATGCTGGAGAACACGTCGCCTGTAAACGTTTCTTTTTATGTAGTCCCCGACTAACCTGTTGAGCAAGATTCCCACCGTAAACGCCCGTATGTAGACAACAACCCATGGCACAAAAATTGCTCGATTTGCGCTTGACGCCTCCTTTCTCTGACCGTGAACACCTGCGTGCAACAGGAGAAGGTCCTGGCCGCCGTGTACAAGGCCTGCTCCGACAATGGCGTCTACCTGGAGGGCTCCCTGCTCAAGCCCTCCATGACCTGCCCCGGCGCGGACTGCACGGAGCCTGTCACCCCGGAGGAGGTGGCCGCGACCACCGTCAACGTGTTGGAGCGCCACGTGCCGGCCGCCGTCCCCGGCGTGATGTTCCTGTCCGGCGGCATGTCCGAGGAGGAGGCGTCGATCAACCTCAACCTCATGAACAGCACACCGCGCAAGGGCCCGTGGTGAGTTTTTTGTGTTGTGTTTCTTTCGCGCGTCCACTATCTAGGCGTCGATCAAGCGCTCGACACGATTTTAGTGCACGGGGTCCAATAATCAAAGCGGTAGGCGGGGGGGGGGGGGGGGGGGGGNGGGGGGGGGGGGGGGGGGGGGGGGGGGGGGGGGGGGGGGGGGGGGGGGGGGGGGGGGGGGGGGCACATGTTTCGGTTGTGTGTATATCGAAAGGAAATCATGATTCGGTTGTCGTGTTCTGCTGTTTTGACGTTCTGGGTGAGGCGCGTTCTTCACTCACATGATACCACCCTGTTTGTCAGGTGTCTGTGGATGGCCTTGTCTATTTTGTTTTTTTTTTGTTGCACACACGCCTCACACGCCATTTTCTATACCAACGGAAAGAACGGCCCATCTGTGTGTGCTGGAGATTCCTCCTTTGCGTGTAGTAGTTGATTATGGGCTCTTTGAAGGCATCTCGTACACATCGAAAGGCGCGCATTCTCCTTTTGTCCTCACATCTGGCTTACTACTTTCTGTCCTTTCTTTTTATCATCCCGCGTTTTCTGCGGCCGCCGCCGTGTTTTGCAGGTCGCTCTCCTTCTCGTACGGCCGCGCCCTCCAGCAGTCCACCCTCAAGGCGTGGCAGGGCAAGGCTGAGAACGTCGAGGCCGCCCAGGCACAATTGAAGGCACGCGCGCAGGCCAACTCGGAAGCCAACCTCGGCAAGTACGTGGCGGGCTCCCAGCCGTCGGCCGACGAGACCCTCTTCGTGAAGGGCTACAAGTACTAAGCAAGCCCACGGGCGCGTGGTTATCGTTGCATAGTGCTAGAGAGAGAAGAGGGAAGAAAATTTTCGTGTGAAGTTGTGAGATGAACAGGAAAAAGCTTCTTGGCAGAAATCAGGCTTGGGTGCGGAGGGCACTTGGGAGCTGGGTGGAGGGAAAGGGGAGGGGCGAGGAGTCTTTGCTGCTGCGTCAATGGTAGGGAGTGAGGGTTTTTTATGGTTGGGTGTGTCTTTTTGTGTTCCTTTGTCTTGTTGGGGTGGTGGGCTGCAGTGTGTTAAGGCCGTACCCACCCAGCTAGCCCTCCCTCTGCTGTTGCCCCCGGCGACAGTTGCTCGCTGCTCCCATTTTGCGTGCGCTGCACGAGTCGCACGATCAACTATAATAGTGTTCCCTCAGTACCCCGGGGGTGCTACGGATGGATGGATGCCTATTGGTGGCTTGACTACTCCCTCCCTGCGTTGGCTTTGTCATGTTTGGGGGGGAATTCCGTCCCTCGCGTAATACCCCTCACACCTCCTCTTTCCTCGTGAAGCGGCACGCTTGGCGAGGGGCGGAGGGAGGTACGGAGAGGCGCAAGAAAGCATTTTTTTTGTGCCGTCATTTTTTTGGCTCGACGGCGCAAAAGCTGCTGTGCGACCAAATTTATTCGTTGAAGAAAGATGTATGCATTGCGTGCACCGAGAAATAGAGACGTCTTGAAACGGGCGTGTAAGGTTTTTTGGTGTGCGGAAACGGAGGGGATGTACAGCGCTGACCAAAGAGGGGTGGGGGACACACGACAATTAGGCGATTGTGACGAGAAAAGGTGCAGTATTATTAGGCGTCGCGAAAAAGGCAACGGGCTTGGTGCTACGCTTCGCCTAAACAAGGGCGTGGTGACGGCCTGTTCGTTACCACGAAACCCGGCGCGGGCAGGGCATGGCGTCTGCCGGCGTAACGTGTAGGTGCTGAGCGTGGGGGTAGGGCACAGGGTAGTTTTTTTCGTTTTCACCGTTTACGCTTTTTAGAGGTGGAAAGAGACTGCCTGTTCTTTCCTACTGCTTTTGCCCCCTCGCTTCAAGTACGCTTCTTGTCGCAGTAAAAGACGAGAGAGGATTTTTACGAAGGCACATGCACGGATGCTCTTGTGAGACATGCACGGTTTGGTTCCTTTTTCAAGCGCTTACTTTTCCTCCCGGCGCTCCGGGTTTCTCTCGGGTTATGGAACATTCATCTTACTCAGGAAAGGTTGAGGAACTACTGGGCGCTCAGACTTTCCCGCCGTCTCTTGCCCTTTGCATATTGTAAGCTTTTAACTGCACCAATCATGAGTCCACCTTTGCACTCGACGGTGATCAGATGGTTTCCTCAGGCGACACACGCCGATAGGACGAATATAGGCAAGGTGGGTCAATCTCAAATGATGGATCGCATCCTGCGACATGAGCATATCTCGGCACCCTGTTCGCACGTTTCACGTTTGTGTGTGACTGCCTGTCGGTCGTAAGTCGTCAACGTCAACGCCATATGGGAAAAGCGAACTTCGCATGGGTTCATCGTTGAACTCATTACCATTTTATTGGCATATTCGGATGGTTTCGTCTGCTGGATGTTATTCAACACAGGAGGCGTGCACATAACACAAATTTGTCTCATTTTCTCCAGAGCAGGATCGCATGTCGAAACCTCGCCTGGCCAATCAGCTTTCAAATATGATTCCCAACCCTGGGCGACGCAACAGCAGCCAAAACACAACGCCGCCTGGCAGTGCATAATAACTGGTCACAAGCTTCCCCTCCGGACAATGAGCGTGCGCGTCAGCCAGCGGACACAAGCCCCGCCACGGGCGATCGCTTCTTGGCAGAGCGCTCACTATCTTGCACCCAGCAACTCGTCAAGGTTCTGCTGCTGTGGACAGTACATGCGCGAGACCCGCGAGGTACCGAAACGGCTTCCTCACCGCCTAGTACGCGGGCGCGGGACCACCTCGACCACACCAACAACGTGAGCGGCATGCACTTGTGCAACATGAAAAATGCACGCTCAGCATGCACGAACTGTTCAATCCTGCTCAGCCAACCCAAACTCCAAAAGGATTGGTCATACAGGGAGTGAGAAGAAAACATCAAGTACGCGATACCCGCCAACATGGCAAACCGACAAGTACAGCTTTCCTGTTCCCGCACAAACACAAATCGCCACAGGCACCATCTCTTAGCAGCGATGAAAAAGTGCCCTGTTGACTCTCCGACCCCAGGGGTTATAGCACGGCGAAGGTTCCACCATCCTAATAATCGGCACCACGCTCCTCCTTCCTCGTTCTGAGAGGGGGTAAGTGGTCACAACCGGCCTTAACGTGGAAAACGTCATCAACGCCAAAACTCCCTCACTCCAAAAAGTCGACCCCGGCATGCTCCGTCCCGCCTTTGTAAGGATGCGAGGTCAATGGTCTAGCGACTGCGGCATGCACGACTATGAGTACGAGTACACCCCCCTCCATCTCCTCACCACCTCTCACGGACCAAGCCTGAGAAAACACTCATTCACAAGACAGCGCTAGACGTCGAATCGGCAGCCACTACCGTCGTGGTCGGGTTAAAGGCGCCACCGTATCCCCCCGCACCCACCCCGCGCCCCCCGCCTGCCGCCGCCGCCGCCGGCGACGACG